ACTTCGCACACTATTTTCCAACTAATCTGTGAGAAGCGATCCACACAACGAGCGGTACACTCCGTGTGGCGCATGGAGCGAATATAATACAACAAGCACTAATGTCTTCTTTGAATTCTTTGGAGACTTTGCTTATCACGACTGCATGCATAGGAGATGAAGAAAGGCATAAAGAAGAATAATTTTGTCTTTTTGCTGGGTTTCCCATTTGCAACCCTACACTGAGTAGCGCTCTTTGCGTCGGAGCCGTCGGAGCGATGGCTACACATTGAGCTTTCGTTATTTGTGGGTGTGGGTCACTTGAGCAGGGTGAAAGACAAGCAAACTTTGTGTTTGCTTGATTCTCACTTTGTTATTTTAGAAAATCAATACATTGTTCGCATTGAGTGATCAGATGACAGCCCTGGAGACGCATAATAGTTTTGAGGAAAAAACATAAGACTTTAAAAAAAATATGTCTTGAAAAAACACGCCTTCGCGTATTTTTGATATGATATGTTTAGCAAAAAAAAATGAGCTTTCCAAAAACAATATAACACCAAGATTTCTTTGGTCTCGACACTGTGAAATCATTGAAAACCATGCGTCTCCACTGATTTAAAGCGACGCATGGTAGTCTAGTCACAAAGGAGTATTGAGCAAATACCCAAAACTTGATAGCTTAAAAAAAAAGTAGAAGGGTCTTTGTCTAGGGGCACGAACGGAAGCTTGACATAGAACCGCTAGTGGACGGAATAAATGTGAAGTGCATTTAGTTCTTTAATTGATCAATTATCTCAACTCTTTCCGTTTTTGAATTGTAGGCGTACCAAATTTATAGTAATCTTTTTCAAAGAGAAAGTTGATTAAGAAAATCAATCGAAATCACTTGCACCCCTGCTTCCAAGTTTGGTTACAAGATTACAACTCTGGAGACCATTTTGTGTGGTCGTTGGGGGCTTGTGGTTCTGAATATGGACAAACAAGCACAGATAAATTCTAGTCCAACTCTTTACTGATGTAAGCTTGATGGCACTGAAAAGGGCCGTTTTATTGAAGAGGACATCCATGGCCACTTACGCTTGGCGTGTTTAGTGTAGGTGACAGCATCACGGACCTCATTTTCCAGGAACACCTTCAGCAAACCTCGTAGATCAGACCGAAGATACGTTTGACACCACCACGGCGAGCCAGACGACCGATGACGGTTATCTCGAAGAACTTTGCGATGACGCTTGGCGCCTCCTTTACCAGACCTTTTCCTCCTTTGCCACGACCAGTCAACTGTTGCTTGTTAAGTGTGAAGGAGTGGACTAGCCACAACCTTCCTACTGCTGCTATTGCTGTTCACCACACCGTCCGAAGCGAAAATGAGCTAATGCCATACAGCAGCGCTCTTTTATATCTTTTCAGGTTAAAGCAGAATGATGTGCAACCAAGTGGTATAAAAGCTACAAAGACTCCTTCCATTATGAGTAGTTTGCTATCAAGTAGCGACACTGGCTCTTTTCCTTTTGCGTACACGGCGAAAGAGAACGACCCAAATTTGAGCTTAGTTCACTCATAATCGCCAAAACTGCAGGAACTCAGCGATGAGTAAATTTGTCTCATGGTATCCTGTGGAAAACCTAAAAAATCTGCCAGAAAATAAGGAAATTGACGAAAATTTTATTCAGTCTAGCAGTAGTACCAATAGCCTGAGTGAATCCAATCTTTACTTTTTCTCAAATTCGGGAATTTTTCCCTGGAAAATCCTGGAAAAACCTGGGAAAACATGAGGCAAATTTACTCATCGCTGAGTTCCTGCACTTTATTTCTTATTTCTGAGATAACTAAACTCAAATTTGGGTCGATCTCATTCGCCGTGATATCACCTTGAAAGATATCGGCGCCTGTGGTTAGCGTGATTACCTCTCACCCCAGCAGGCCTGGGTCCAATCTCAGTCGGCGCCACCGGCATGTTCTAAGGCATAACATCTCTGATCACGCCTTCCTTCGGGAAGTAAAGCCGTTGGTCCCCGGTTGAGTTGATGGGTCGATTTGTAGGGTCCAGGTGTGGGAGCTGCCTCCCTGGCGTCGGTAGCATTGGAGCTCAGTACGGAAAACAAATCGCGTCACTTTTCAATAGGTCCTATCTACATTGATCGATTCTCTTCATCGACACTCTCTTTCGTAAATAACTCGGCTTCACAAATGTTTCCTGCCGTCTTCGTTGAATTAGATGCTAGATTGTTGCTTCTTCCATCGAAAATATCCGGCCGTGGCGATTCAAAGTTGATCAAGGTTGATCAAAATAATTTGTATCCCTGCTTCCACCCTGTGATCGTTGGTTCTGATTATGGACAAACAGGCAGCTGAATTCTATTCCTACTCTTTACTGTAATAAGCTTGGTGGCCCTGAAAAGTGCCGTTTTGTTGCCAAAGTTGGTGATTATTTAACCTCCGAAACCAAGCAGAGTGCGTCTCTGTCACTTCAAAACGTAGATGACATCCATGGCCGCTTACGCTTGGCGTGTTTAGTGTAGGTGACAGCATCACGGATCTCATTTTTCAAGAACACCTTCAGCACACCTTGTAAATCAGACCGGAGATACGACAGACACCGCCACGGCGAGCCAGACGACGGATGGTGGTTATCTCGAAGAATTTGCGTTTGGTTCTGAATATGGCGATGAGTGTGCAAAAAATTACGCAATTCCATCCTCCCTATTCGCACGCGCCAGATGATCGGAGGCGAATGCCACTTCGACTTGTTTCGCCTACTTACTACTCTCTGACGACTGTGCTGGGGAAGCAGCATATGCATGTAGGTAATTAGTGGATTTGTTAGTTAATTCGACGTTTTTGGACAATGCTGGACATTTACCAGTTTTTCAATAGTTTCTTGTTGAAAATCAACATTCGGAAGCATTGTTACCGATGCGTAGCCATATTTCTGATCGATTGGTGATAAAATTATTGAAATTGGATCAGGGGCAGCTGAGTTATTAACGTTCAAAATCTTTCTTAATTTGTTACATGTTCCATTTTCGGTTTTCACAAAGTGTACCCCCATATAGAAATCAAAGAGGTAGTCCTACGTCAATAAACTGCACCAGGCTCGTGGACACGGAGCGCTTCGGCTAAAAGCCGTGTTTTTCTGTATCGATATAATTTTTGCAACACGCGAACAGAGCATTATTTATGATAATCTCGAACAGTTTTGAGCAGGCACACAGGGAGGTGATTCCACAATAATTTGTGACATTCCGTTTATCTTCTTTTTTGTAGACTGCGAACAGATATGAAAGTTTCCAGCGGCAGGGGAATGCCGTCAGGTCCGGCGGCGAACGAGAGCTTTAGTTTGCGTGTTGCGGCTATCACCATGTCTTCTGACATGCGAGGAATATCGAAACTAAACGCATCACGTGGCATCCCAACTGTAGCATCCAGCACTTGTGCCGGCGAAGCGGAAAAATCGTGGAACACTTGCCTGAAGTGACGAGCAAACAAGTCGCCTTTTTCTCTTTCGCTATTAGTCGAATCATTCCCGAGAAACAATTTCAAGCAATAATAACATCAAGAAAAACTGATTTTAACTAATTTTAAATTTTCGCTCCAATTTAAGGATTTAATTAGTTTTTATGAACAGATTAAATCCATACAATGTAAGAAATCGTGAAAATAATTCGTTGAATAACTCTTCAAATTCAAACCAAAATCCTATACCAAACCCACCTCCTCAACCTAATAATCTACCTCTACACGCAAACCAAAACTTTATTACAAAGAATGTTAGTTTCATTTACTATCATCCTCTCTTCATGAACATCGCAGTGAATGTTGGACGTTGACGTTAGGGGGCCCGTGTATTGACCACTCGTCTTTCAACGCTTGGGAAAATGAAATGGTTAAAGGCGTACATTGAGGCAAATAGACCTAAGAATTTCATGAGGTTCGACTTATGAACAACATATATGAATTTCCTTTTCCAATAATTATGTTAATAATGGAATTCAAACGACATACACACTAAAAATATTTCTAAGATTTCTGTGTAATTTTACCGAAATCTCAACAGTTGAACGATCGGTAAGCAGTTCGGTGATTTTTCACAGATATTCGGTGAAAAATTACAGGAAATCTGCGACAAATCACCGAAATATTTACCTGACGTTCAGCTGTTCAGAAAATTCACTGATATCTGTGAAATAATCGCAGTGTGTACGATTCAGGATCACTGCCCGTTCTTGTAGTCTTTAGTTTCGGGAACTTATTAATGTAATTATGTATTCAGCTTTATTGCCCAGTGAGACGAACACAATAAATTTAAATCCATTCAGTTTGGCAAGCTCACTCGATAAATTTAACACTTACCGATGGATAACCACTTCTTTGCAGGAGCTATGATTGAATCAATGTACTTTAGGAACAGTTAACTAATGTTTATTTACTTTCAAACAATCCAAAAAACGTAACCCACATTATTGGCATCGTTATGTTTCTGATTACCATAATTTTATTGCTGCTAGTTACCATTACCGGGATTCAACAAAAACGTATTACCTGTGGCTTCATGATATCGGTGGAAGTGCTCAAAGGGCAGCCAAGTTGAGGCTAAAGCAAAACATTTTTTTTCTGCTGACGCGTTTTGATTGCTCTAAAAATGTTGGAAAAAGTTATCGATAATCCATGTATATATGTTTTTTTCTTAGATTTGTGAGAAAAATTACATGAAACTTATTTTTTCCATCTCTTGATGATTTTCGATATCTTTTTCAATTAAGTTTGTGAATCAAAAAATTTTTTTTTTAGGTTGGTGAGTTTCATTTATGAATATTTTGTTGGATAGTAATGGCCAAGGACGAAGTTAATTTAATAGTTTTTTTTAATTTATATTTAAAATTTCATAATTTAACATCACGGTGCAGAAATCAATAATTTTACAATTTCTTTCGTCAATCAATATGTTTTATCTAAGTGTCGGCCGACACATGCACTATCAAGTGAAAATAGATTTAACTATTCATATTCATTTGAGGCTATTGCTTCTTGATCTTCATGAAAACCCCGTACAGCGCCAGCTCCAACAGAAACGCTAAAACACCCCCTGTCAATCCAAATAGCAGCAAATAGAATGGCCCCGCTAGGTGGTACACCTTCAGGGCAATCGCTCCCGGGTTATCGTGAACTCTGGCCAGTCCGATTATCTTCTGAACGGTGTACGCCTCGGGGAACTGCGCTAGCACCCGTTCCTCCCAGTAGCGCTGCACACCGCTCTGGAAGATGTGCATAATCAGCTCGTTCAGGTGCTCCTTCATGGGCCACGTCTTGGTGACCTGTGCGACACAGTGGCCCCAGTACAGATCTTCCACCATGACTTGGAAGTTTTTTGCCACGTCCAGCGCGATGTAGTCGGAGATTCCATAGTGCCCGTACGGTAGACGTTCGATAGCGTACGCCATATCGGCCCGTTTGGCGTGTTCGTGCAGGACGGTTTTGGTCATGGTGCGGAAGTTGGATGCCAGCTTGATTATAAGGGCCTGCAAGGATGTTAATTATTTGAGCATGAGTTGAAAGTCTATGAATGTGACAAACCTCGTCCGAGTCTTCGAAAGCATATACCCAGGCATCGTGTGAAGCTCCCCAAATCATTTCCCGTGCGGCTAGTTGAGCAGAAGTGTCGATCGGTTGCTCATATTGAGGGACGGTCATAATGCTGGACAGACCACCACAGTAGGTATTCCCGATTATTAGACCGGCAAAGAGTAGAATCGTGATGATCGTCAACTGTGAACCAAGTTTGTACTGTTCGATTCGTAGGATGGAACAGAGGATCAGCGATGATCCAACGGAAGTGAACACTTCGCAGATGTCCACCGTATCGTCCTGAAGGAATGCAATTCAAATTAGTTGCAAGATAATCGAAGTTCTGTTACTCACTGTATTCAAGATGACATTCACTGTCAAATGGTTAAAAATTGTAAGAACTATTGAAGTGATGAATGCTGTGACAATAAGAGCCACCCACATAAGGTTGGAAAATGGTAAAATAGGTGTCAACCATGATGGCAGTAATCTGAAACAGAGTTGATTTCGTCAAAGATTTCAATTATCCTGCTTTACCAGGAATGCTACTTCTGCTTCGGAGTAATACAGGTCACTCCGGTCCGAGATAACGACTGAGTTGGTGAGTTCGAATCGTAGAACCAAGCTAACATCGCCCCAACACCGACATCTACGCGATGTTCAGCGATCGCACCCATAATCCCAATGCCGGTAAAATTTTCATAAACTTCACCCCACTGCGCAGCTTCTTGAGTCGCTACGTCCAAGCTGCAGTTGTGAATGCGGCAAAACTCCAGCAGGATCCGAGTTTCCGTACCGTCTACCCGAAGCTTTTTGTCATCGCCCTCGTAGGCATTGGCTCTCGATTCATCCTCCTGTTGGGTGTAGAATTGTCAATCATGAACCAGAATTCGCTACCAAACATACCACTTCGATCCACGTTGTGTACGGTTCGTAGTTGATCATGGCCACACGAACAAAGCGACCTTCGAGATCCTTGATCTTGTCTGGGAATAGACTGTTGTCATACTGAAAGCTACGATTTGCGATGATGTACGTATCCAACTGCACAAGCTGTTTGTGACCGTCTCTTCCGGAAAACTTGTTCGTCCAAAGTTCAATGTTTCCGTGCAGATATGATGGACTGAGGATTAACAATTTTGGGATATCACATATGATGGGACGATCGAGGATAGCCTGAAGCCGACTGTAGTCAACATCGTTTCCCATTACGACAATGAAGGCCTTATTCGAAAAGCGTTGATTCGTGTGATCCTGTAGGTATCGGTAACTGTCCAGAAACCCAATGGCAGCGCTTTCGGTTAGAATGTAAACCTGATAGATTAAAGTAAATTATTCAATTTTGTTCGAATGATAACGACACATCCGTCTACCTGGCACCCTAGCTCGAGATTTGCCATTTGAATGGACTCAGTGACATTCTCCACATCGATGCTGATAAAGGGCTTATCGAAATGTACTCCCACGAATCCTTCATCATTGGTACCGTTGGTCACAAAGCAGAAACTGTAAGCCGTAGACAGATAATGCGTAGCTGAAACCGAAGCGATAAGAACCGTCTGAATATTATGTTTGCCTTTATTAGATTACCAATAATAGTGATAAAATCTGATAGCGAGCTCAATCCCCATACAGGTTCTACCAACAGTGTTGTATCCATTGTTGTTGCTACTGAATTTTCCAAACGATGCACCATTAGCTTTATACAGTTTTCAAGAAGAAAGGCGATACAGTTTTCTACGAATGCAAATTTCTCTGTGTGGAACCGATTGGATTTAAATGATTCTTTGGATCAATCATTTCGGGGCTTTAATGTTTTCGCACTAATGTACCGTTCGGTAACAAGTGTATGTAACTGACTTAGTATGCACATGCAGTCTATTGTAATATGTAACTGTAAATGGAGAGTAAATTTAATTGCTTTTGTCGCTTCAAGTGAAAAGGAAATGATTTCATTGGATCATCAGATTACATGTGTAATTTACCGCTGTGATGTGACTGTATGAACGTATTATTGAACGTGATGTTGGGATGTTTTTGCAATGCATATAAAACATATATTTGTTGACGTACAAAGCTGAAAATTTTGACATTATTGCGTTGAAGTTGAAAGTATACATCAGCCGACATTTATCTCAACTAACTTTTCTAGCGTAGTGCTGTAAAGTAGTTAAAAAAAAGCTGCAGATACAGCTACAAGCAGAAGCTAGCAAAATAGTTTTGGAGAGCGTTTACCCAGCTTTTTCACGAACTTTATTCAATTTGTCAGAAGAACTGAATAACATCAGTCCATAAACGCTAATGTTACTTATTTTCAAATATTAATTAACTTTCAACTTGTAGCCGCAAAACAAAGCTAATAAAGTGAATATATCACACATTTGATGGCTTTTCCACAACAAACCACTCTTGCTGAATAACATAAACATCAAAGGTACTTTTTCAACATATAAGCAACCTGTACTCAGCTAATAAACTGTGTTAGCGCTACTCTGGAAGCATGTTTACTAGGTTTATTTTTATACGTATGCAGTTTTACCAACCGATGGAAACTAACGATTTTAAATTGGCTCACTACTACCTCTATGGTTTTACAGCTTTTACTCCGCTCCTTTACAAAGCTGCATTAACTAGTCGAGAAAAGTGATTCATGTGCACTATTATAAAGCCTCTACTAAGTGATCTAGCTTTAGAAGGGCATGTAGATTTTTTGGCGTAGCTAAGTTGGTAGTGTCGAGGTTTTGCCCATGCGGTCCTCTCGAGTTGAAGTCCAGGTACCGGTGCAGGGTAATAATTTGGTGGTGTGCTTAGCTAATTTCACCGCAGCCAAATCAACCTAACCAACAAAAAAGCGTCAACAATATTTAACCCTAGCTTAAGATAAAGCTGTGTGGTGATTATTGGACAATCGGGAAAAAGTTGAATAAGCGCCTTTAAAGTTTACACACAACTAAACAACAGCTGTAGAGAAGCGTAAATGGAGAGCTTGTGCTGTCATAGAGTGCTTGAAATTTATAGCAAATTTAGACATTTCCAGAGAAAACCATTTTTCAACAAAAGTGTCTAAATTTTATTCACTGGTGGCTGAAAAAAAACTTGTGAACAATAATTTTCCAAAAACAGCGGCCATCATTGGTCAACTTTTTGCAGGTAGATAGATTGTTTGTAGTATTATTTATAATCTAGATACAATTTAATAGTAATTTATAATTTTCTTATTATTTCCAGAGAGCGGTGAGAACTTTATCTTTATAAGGTTTTCCAGAGGAGTTAGTGAGCTGCAGATTCAGCTGTTACACGCGTTGTCCGGTACGGTTGGCTTCCGATTGATATTGCTGGACATGCCGACTGGAATATCCTGTCGCCGTGTCGGATCAGGCCAAAGAGATGGCCGATGCTAATAGTAAGTATATCTAACAAGGTACATTATTTTGTAACTTTTGATCCCCATTACAGAGGGCTTCAATCGGCAGCACGACGATCCGAATAGACTCTCATTATTTTGCAACTTTTGATCTCCATTACAGGGCTGCAAACGGCAACACGACGATTCGGATCGAGTTCGCGGGGCAACGGAACGGAATGGTTGCCGAGCACGACACGGGAAGGTCGACGAAGGGATCGTGAAAAGAAACATCCGAGTTCCACCTGGACGGGATTTCGATCGATGACAAAGTGGCCGACATTGTAGTGCCTTGAAAACTTAAGAGATTAATGGTGCGATCTTGCTCTGCCCAGATGTACCTCCTAATTTTATTTATTATACTAGAAAAAAATATTACTTTTTATTGATTTTTATTTGAATGTAATTGTTTATATAATATGTCGAAAATACACGAAACCAACCATTTAAAATCGTCCGCTGTATAAAATTTAACCACTTTTGAGAAAAACGTCTTTATTCATTAATGATTAAAATTTAATCACTTTAGAGAAAAACGCGTTTATTCATCCGATGAGTAAACAGCGTTTATTCATTTTATGAATATGTGCGGGTTTTCTCGAAACTGTTTAAAATTTAAACATTAATGCATACTTTTTTCTTAGCGTGTGCCTCCCTATTGTAGTTTTGTTTTGCCTCGTGGCTCTGACCCCTGGTAAGGGAGTATGGTTCATAGTGGGACAACTTGTTGCAACTAGATATAAGTTTTTTTTTTATTTTTTTTTTTTACTTTAATTTGCTTGTACGCCGTGCAAAAAACATTGATTACTAGTAATTAAAATTAATAAATTGGAGAAGGTTTTTATATTTTTCCTTCTTTAGCGGTTGCGCACCGCTTTTGCGCAACACTTATGGCATCTTCCGATGCCAACGTTGCGCGAACCAGGTATTACCAACCACTTTCGAAAGGACCATGGGTTGTCTTTTTTCGGCCTAAAAATAAACCCTTGAAAACTCTCGATATTTCGAGAGACTTGCTGCGTAAGTATCCGGGAATCTTGGTACATAAGGAGAGATTCAACAAATTGCATGTAGAAGCACCGAATTATGATGTAGCAAATAAAATTGCTGATCACGAGTTGTTTAGTGTTGAGTACAACATCTACATCCCTTCTCAAGATGTGGAGATAGAAGGCGACGCGAGTCTGTCTGTCGAGGACTTGAAACGTGCCTCGGGTTGTTTTGAAAACAGAAAAGTCACAAGCGAGCTTGTAAAGATACTGGATGTTAGGCAACTGCATTCAGTGTCTTTACAAGATGGCAAGAAAGTTTATCAGCATTCAGACTCGTTTTGGGTGACTTTCGCTGGTTCAGTTCTTCCGAACTTTGTCAAAGTTGATGGTGCTTTTTTTTCCGGTGCGGTTGTTTGTACAGAGGGTTTATAACTGTACCAACTGCAAAAGGCTAGGACACTCGGCCTTCCATTGCGGCAACAAAACTCGTTGTGGCAAATGTGGTGAAAACCACAAAGAGGATTATTGCCACAAAAAATCAGTAAAATGCGCGTACTGTGGCGAGAATCCTCACCCCTTGCAGGAGTGCCCGATGTACAAGCAGCACTCCGATAAAGTGCAGCGTTCAATCTCTGGACGCTCCAAGCAGTCATATGCACAAATGGTGAAGGCTGCATCAGCCGTCCAAGATGCAAACCAATTTTCGATTTTGTCAGCTGAAGAATCGGACTCTGACTCATCCGATGAAGGTGAATCTACGGTGGTACACGCACCTTCAAAAATGGACGGATCCTCAAAAAGAAAATGACCCTCCCCGAAAGTGCGCCGTAAGAAAACTAAAGTCACCTCCAGAAGATTGGCAAATTCCCAGGGTAATGGGGATGAAACAACGAAACCGAAGGCTCCTGCTGAACCAATCCCTGGATGCAGCAGGAATTTTCCACCATTGCCTAAAAAAGATAAGGAAAATAATAAAGCTGCTCCTCAAACCAAGTCCGAACGAGGTTTGCTAGCTTTTTCGGACATTGTGGAATTCATATTAAATATGTTCAACATACAAGACCCTCTTAGAAGTTTAGTTTCTGCCTTGCTTCCAACATTAGAATCATATCTTAAGCAATTGACTGTTTCATGGCCCCTCCTTGCATCAATCATATCTTTCGATGGATAATTCGTCGAACGAGGTTGAAGATATGCTCACTGTGCTACAGTGGAACTGCCGTAGTCTAGTGCCTAAACTAGAATCGTTCAAATTTTTACTTCACAATTCTGATTGTGATATACTTGCTCTCTGTGAAACATGGCTTTCTTCCGATAAAGAACTCAACTTCCACGATTTTAACATTATACGCCTGGATAGAGACGATTCTTATGGAGGAGTACTTTTAGGGATCAAAAAGTGCTACCCTTTCTACAAAACTTCCCTTCCTGCTCTATCAGGCGTCGAAATCGTCGCTTGCCAAATAAATGTGAAGAACTTTTGCATAGCTTCAGTTTATGTTCCATCAAGAACCTCCATTAGCCGTAGTCAACTCTGGAATCTAGTTTCGATTCTTCCATCCCCAGTATTAATTCTGAGTGATATGAACTCCCATGGTACTGTACTGATGACAATAGAGCGGCTATTTTTTACGATTTATGCGACGATTTCAACTTGACTATTTTGAACACTGGTGAAGCGACACGTATAGCAAAACCTCCGGCTCGAGAAATCCGACTCGACATATCTTTGTGTTCAAGATCGCTATCATTGGATTGTCTGTGGAAGGTTATCAATGATCCCCATGGTAGCGATCATTTGCCAATCATCATTTCAATTAAGTGTGCCCCTCACTCTGCAGAACCATCTCTAGTTCCATTTGATCTTACAAGGAATATAGATTGGCATAAATATGCAACGGCGGTGACAATCGGTGCCGAATCAATAGATACGCTTCCACCATTGGAAGAATATCGATTCCTCGCCGATTTGATTTACAAAAGTTCACTGGAAGCACAAAAAAGAAAAGTTCCAAGTGCGCCCTTCAAAAGGAGACCAGCCACACCTGGATGTAGAAAAATCTGATGCTTTCAAAGCTTTTCGTAGACACAAAACCTCCACATACTTCGAGGAATATTCAAAGCTTGAGACAAAGCTGA